AAAAAAAAAAAAAAAAAGAACCGAGCAAGTGCCCTGCCCAACCTCAGAACTCTGTTCTGTGTGAGCCTGAGAGATAAACGTGGACAGTGGCTCAGAACCCGATACCTCTGGGTGGAAGAGCCTAAAAACCACAACCCAAATCACATGTGGTCAATGCACATACTTTGGGTTTAGAGCTGACATATAAACAAGAGCTTTCTTATTACAGACAATGCTGTAATGAATAACCTTCTACACAAATGTCCCTTTCACACGTGTGCAAATACATGTAGAGGATAAATGCTCAAAAGTAGAATTTGGGGGGCAAAGGAGATATGCATTTATCATTGTTTTAAATGGCAAATATATATAGCGTCTTTCCGAATCTGATCTTTGTTTATACTCCACAAATGACTTTTAGATCTAAAATGTGACTACATGGCTAAATTAAATTGCATTTTCTATGCATTGTACGTAGTAATTTTTCCAGGCTAACTGGGGAATGATTTATCATATATTGCATTTCTGGCCCAATAACCTCCTCATGCTATATTTGAGCACAGCCCCTTCTAATTCTACCTGTCATCCATCACTTTAGCCCCCGAACTATTGTTTACATCACCTCTATTCCAAGTTCACCCCTATATTGTTGTTTATAATCAATTCCAAGCTCAGCAATACTCTGACGTTAGCAAAATGATAGCTTGTAAGGAAAAGCAGACCCCCACCCATTCACTGGAATTCCAACCCCTAGAAGGGGCCAGCGTGCCACAGGGCCTGGGATGACCCTGTCTAGTAACAAGCTAATTTCTCAGAGAGAGACTGAGAGAGTCCCTCCTCCCAGTGATTACCTCCAAAGAAGAAAATATATTTTCACTAAACTGGGCTTAGAAAAAACGTAAATATCCTTTGATTTAGAACAAATTTATTTTAGGAAAAAGTTTAGCAAAAGCCTTCCAGTCTGCCCTTAGCCAGAAATCCCCATTAAGCAAAAAATACTATTGCCTCAACCCATGAGCAGCGTGTCTATGAAGTTAGCACCAGCTTTGTTAAAGACAGACGTCTCTGTGCCTACTGCATTTGGTAGCTTCGGTGATGTGATTTTTGCTGAAAATCATGTTTTGCGGTATTTGTACAAGCAGGGAAATGAAAGAAACGCCTGTGCCATATTCTCTAGGAGAGTATTTTCAATACTCTTTGAGAACCAACTTGATAATAAATGTGTTAAAAGACTTTAACATAGGGATAGGACAGTGAAGATATTGTTCACCTAGTAATACTTACATTTTTAGAATGACACTTAATTCTGGTAATACCTGGCCAGGAAGTAAGTCGAAATATCAAGAGTCTTTTTAAAATGTGAAGAGCGGGGTGTGTGAATATAATAAGGCAATACAATGGATCCTTGTGATGTTGAAACTGTTTAGTATTTTGACTGTGGTGGTGGATATACCAACCCACACAGGCAATAAAATTGTATAAAACAATACACACACGCAACACACATGTGCAAGTAAGACTGGAGAAATCTGAATAAGGTTAGTGAATTATATCAATGTCAATACCCTGGTTGTGATATCATATGATAGGTTTGCTAAATGTAGCGTTGGGGGAAACCCAGCAAAGTACACAAGGGATCTGTGTGTAGAGTTTCACATGTAAAACTGCAATTGTCTCAATAAAATTTTCTATTTTTTTAAAAACGGGGACATGCCAAGATAAATGAGGTGCAAAGGTGCTCCTAGGTAAAGAAGGAATTAATTTGTGTGCTATAAGATTTTTAGCTATAAGACAGTTACATATAAGAGGATGTCTATACATTGTAGGGGTTGAGGAGGGGTGAATAATCCATTCTTGTTCGTTAGGGGAGGGGAAGAAAGACAGGGTACCTTTTTTGTTCCAGTAAATCCATACCTAGAACCCTATCCTTGGGAAACAGATGTTTACTGTAGCATTATTTATAATTATAAAAAACTGTAAACAACCCAAAAGTCCATCATTATGAAAATGATCAATAGTGTGACATTTCTACCATAAACTGTAATGTAATCATTCTACAAGATCCATCTATATAACATACCAAGATAAGAGGAAGGCTATGTGTCCTCTACAGTATCCAGTGTTATAGATTGCTACAGGGGGAGAAAGGGTGGCAAAGACTGCAGAGTATATATCAAAGTGCTAGTAATGAGCTCAAAAAGAAAATTGAGACAATCTGAGAAAAGGTCAGTGAGAATGGGTATGATATTAAGGAATCACTGTAGATTTTTGTTGGATATAATAATGTGTGTGAGTGTGTGTGTGTGTGTGTGTGTAAGTCTTTCCTTACCCTTTTATCCATTAGTGTTACACACTCAAGTAAATACAGACAAAATGATATAACGTCTTGATGGACTTGCTCTCCATATGACTACAGATTTGCTTTAAATACACTCTGTAGCATTTCTTTTATTTTACTTCCTTTAAAATTTTTAATTGATTTTCTAGAGAGAGGAAGGAGGAGGGGAGGGAGAGAGAGAGAGAGAGAGGAGGAGGGGAGAGAGAGAGAGAGAGAGAGAGAGAGAGAGAGAGAGAGAGAGAGAGAAACATCGATTTGTTTTCCACTTATTTATGCATTCATTGGTTAATTCCTGTATGTGCCTCACCAGGGATCAAACCTGCAACCTTGGCATATGAGGACAATGCATTAACCAACTGGGCTCCTGGGCCACATTTAACATAGGCACAATTTAAAAAGTAAAATTTATTTTTTTTTATTTTTTTTTTAAAAAAGTAAAATTTAAAGGTTAACCGTAGTTATCTCTGAGCTAGGTAATTCTGGCTACCTAGTCCTTTTCTTTAAGGCTTACTGTATTTTCTGTTTTCTATAAAGAACAATTATAAAAAATCGGGGATAGTGGGATATGTTTAGAAAAATCAGACCAGAGAGCTAAGTCATTTATACACAGGTAATTGCAGCCCTGATTATATTAATCTGGAGACAGTCCTTCTTAAGAGGCAATTTACCTTTAGACTTATCA